AAAAAAAAAAAAAGGCACACCGTTCGTAGTAGTACAATTAAGCCTGCCTTTCATTGCAGGATATCAGTTCGTAAAATTCATTTTTCTAATAGCCCAGGCTGCCCAGCTGAAACTTTTGGTTCGAGGATACTTCGCCGCTATATAACGTGTGCAATAAGTTGTCACGAGCAATCAATCAAAGCAACTCCTGTCTTGATATATTATACATAATCCGTCTTGTGCCGTGCCATGTCTTAGCTGGATTCTCGTCCAAGACAGCTTACATTTTCATTCGCTAATAGAACTCTGTACAATGATTTACATGTTATGGAACTTCCATTCACATTTCCAACTGAAATTTATATATATATATATATATATATATACACACATACATACATGAATCACAACTTACATAATTGGCATTAATAGAAAACATATACATATTGGCATGAAAGCATAGAGACAGACAGGCCTAACAACAACCTTCAGCATCCGAGCACTGGCAAAAGTTAACGTTAACACAATGATCCAGTACTTTCAACCAAGCTGTGTACCTCTTCATGAATGCATGACCGAGTCTTCATGTTTCTTGGAATCAAACAGTTCTCCTGAATTCAATAGAAAACACAAACCCTATTGAGTGCATTGATTCGATGAATATTTCTTTTATTTTTTAGGAACATATGAGAAAATAGACAACATAGAAAAATGGCACATCTTTTCATCTCAAATCAACCTGAAAAGGAGGTTTGACAGATATGCTACACGCTGCAAACTCAAAGTCGCTAAATACGATCAGATATCCATGCATCTTTTGTTTTGTCTTTCCACAATCCCCATTTCCATTGCACCTTGAAATAAGGCTGTTGGTGCCATTAGAGACAACATCACGGTGGATAAGCAATGCCATGTCAGACAGTTTAGTACAATTCTCCAGAATGGAGAAGATGGTTGATATTGTCATCTCAAAATCGTTCGCTGTTAAATAAGCAGTGATTTTTTTCAACCCCTTCATCTGAAGCCTGGATTCTAAACCATCCTGGCCAGGATATGTTTCAAATTCTGACCAAGCTCCAGTGGTCAAAGTGAGAGAGCTTACGTTTGGGAAAACATTAAAACATTAACTCAAAGGTGGACTTAGTTAAACCAACTGGCACTTCCCACCTTTTGAGACGACAGTTAGATTCCTAACTGTTTTACCAAAAGGAAATGTAACAAGTAGGTTGCGGAGGTCCGTGGATTCAAGATGAAGCCTTCTCAAGTCGTGTAGTCCTTTCACCTTGAAGTTGCCAGCAGTCTCAACAGAGAAATGTAAATCAGATAACAATGGAGTCTCAATCACAAGTGGCTTTGGCTTCACACAAATAAGTGTGAGCTTAACAAGATTGGGTGCAATGATGGCTAATGAATTTGGAGCATTAAACACTATACATTGACATGTTTTGAGGTGCATGAGATGAATCCGGGGTTCTTTAAGTCCTCCAACCCCAATCAAATTAAGAACTTGTAATGAAGGGAAAGATTCATTGATCTTGTTCAAGTCCTCGTCATCCAATATAATGAACTCAAGTGTCAAATTTGTGAGCTTTGGCATTGGATTTAGGCCATCAACTGATAGCCATGCATTCTTGACATCTAACTCTGAGAGATTAAGACCTGCATGTGTATGAATACAAGACTTTAATTGAAACTCAATAATGTGCTTGATATGAAACATCAGATCATCCTATCATGTTATATGACACTCAATCATTTATACAACTCTGAGACTTTTCAATGAATCTATTCAATCATTATCCCAATTCTAAACTAAACCGGAATTACTGCAAGAACTACCAAAATGCACATACTTCTGGAGATATTAACATATAACACAAAATCAGCTTCATAAATCAATATTACAATTCAATTAATACCTCAAAAACTGCACCAACCGTGCAAAATTACAAATTATGCGCGAATTAATATTAGTCTAACTGATTGCGCAATAAAGAATTACTTCCACATATTCGCAGAAATTAGAGGGGAAATTGAAGGCTCACAATGGGAAGAAATAAGGGACAGCACATCGGATCGGCGCCAGCAAGACTGAACCCAAAAATCCGATATCGAAATCGATTTCAGTCCTCCACACACCTTAGCGTTGGTGAGGTATCTTTTTAAGAGATCACTCAAGTACAAATCGGCCTCCTCATTCTCCATATCATCGTACGCCCCATATCTTAGAGGCTTCTCAACGCCCATGGAAACGCTCTCGACGATTTCCAATTCGGAGATTAGTTTAATGAAAATCTCCTTGAAAGGCGTGATCGAGGAGCTGGTTAGAGGAGAGCGCGATTTGGCATATCTATCATAGGAGCACTGGAGATTGACGGATCGGATATCACGAGCAATTGAGTTTAGGGTCTTCGAAGCAACTCGGTACCGAGCCAAGTCCTCCGAATCTCTGAGTCGACTCAGGATCTCGAGGAGGAGCTGTGGAGGAAGGTCTTCCATGGAGATGGTACAAGTGTTATGTTCTAACTTCAATCAACTTTAGATATAAAGTTTTTATCGTTTAAGTATGTCAAGAATCATATGAAGGTTATGAATGATCAATAGAGGATTCGTCGCTCTTAGATAGTAAGAGATTATGATCTACATTTTATCCAATTAAGTTAATAATGAAATCCTTGGCCAAGGTGAACTCATAAGTCGGAAAAGAGTTTTCGACTTACATTGACTTAACACTGGGATAAAAGATATGATCGATAATTGAGATTGACACGTATCCATATCTCATT